TTACCTACAGTGCTGTTTGGCAACGACCTTAGGCGAGCGACATCCACGTTGCTTGAGGAAGTCTTACGGGTCGGAAGACGGGTTTGGAACGAAAGACAAAGATTTAAGCTAGCGTTGGGATATCGACGCGATTCCACATAAAAATTTCATAAGCGTGCTTGTGTAGGATAGCATTCGGTGTACTTAAGATTGACCACGATGCAGCTGATGATGAATAAAACCATAAAAAAGTGCAAAATCATTCTCAACCTAAATGGCACAACCGTATGAAAGGCCCCGTGATGCGAGACTATTTTAAAGAAACAAATCCTTGCACACAATTAGTTTCTCTTAGCGCAAATACAGAAGAGAGTTATCACAGCGATTAGACAGAAAGTACAATAGATATCAACTCAAGACCCACAAGGACAACACATGTGTGGTGACTGAATCAAGTGAATAGCAGGAATATTGAAATAATATGTCCAATGAGGAACAATAAACAGTTGCTTGTCTTCCTGAACTTACCCGGTAGGGTGGAACAGTTACAACAATTAAACGGATTGATCCATTTGCATTTGCCGGTAGGTAAAATCTCTCAGCTTGCCATTTGCCGCGGCCCAGCTGTTCAAAACTGCCACCGAAATTCGCTCGCGGTGGGTCGATCTCTCGGGCATTCACTTCTTGCATTGTCGGATCGATCTTTATACCATATCTTTGAAGTCCAGGTTGACTGATAAGACGATTATTCACCAGTTCATAGCGTATGACCGAATACAATGAATAAGATTTTCAAAAATGGATAAAAAAGGGGCAGTTGAGAGATCTACAGATTTGATTGACGAATAAAAGAAATGTAGACGTGTGTGGAAGTGACACAATGGCACGTATCTTCAGGAAAACAGCGGAGATAACACACTGAGGAGAAGATAAATCACATTTAAAAACTACTACCGTCACTTACTGCAAGTGATTCGCAAGAGTTCATGGACACATCTATGGATATTTAAACAAGTCAACCAAAGTAAAATCAGTGGCAGCCACAGAGCCAACACCAGTGTCCTCAAAGTGCTTCAATCAGCTTTGTTCATTTTCACTTTTTAATGAATAGACAATGATACAAATTCCGAGGAGGAAACGGACAATCAAAGGGCTGCCAAACAACAGAATGTACAAAGTCAGGCGGTGGTGGTGATATTCGAACACACTTCCATCCGGGTTGATCTTTACCATCGAGCCACCGCCGCACCGATTCGAAATTCAGGGGGGTTAAGGGTCTACAAGAAAGTGGACCCGAGTTTGCAGACCCACCGTACAGGA